TAATGTCTTCTCCCTCTGACCACTCCTTGAGAGCCAGTGTGGTGTAGTGGTTAAGAGCGGTGGACTCGTAATCTGGTGAACCGGGTTTGCATCTCCGCTCCTCCACATGCAACTGCTGGGTGACCTCGGGCCAGTCACACTTCTCTGAAGTCTCTCAGCCTCACTCACCTCACAGAGTGTTTGTTGTGGGGGAGGAAGGGAAAGGAGATGGGTAGCCGTTTTGAGACCCTTCGGGTAGTGATAAAGCGGGATATCAAATCCAACTCTTCTTCTTCTTCTTCTTCTTCTTCTTCTTCTTCTTCTTCTTCTTCTTCTTCTTCTTCGTTGTCATCCCACCACCACTCTCCTGGCTCTGAGCCTTCTTCCCCTGGGCATTCCCCAGCTGGTTCCACCCACTATTCCTCTGCATCCAACCAGTCCACAACACTGCCCCAACATCCTCACTCTGCTCCCAGCTAACTTGCAACCAGCCCACTAGGTGGCCCTACTCTGTTAGCTTCCTCCTCCTCCTCCATCTCGCCACCTTGTGGAACTCAGCAGGATAGAGACAAAACTGGAATGAGTAGCCTCTCCCTGTCATTGGTTCTGGCGCCACCTACTGTTGGGCTCCCTTCCTCCTGCCCTACCAGTTTCAATGGACACCAGCCACCACTGAAAGCAAGGGAAAACAACCTTACCTTTGCAGCCTGGGAGTCATTTTGGACTCACAGCTGTCCATGGAGGCGCAGATTAATTCTGTGTCCAGGGCGGCTGTCTACCAGTTCCATCTGGTACACAGGCTGAGACCCTACCTGCCTGCGGACTGTCTCGCCAGAGTGGTGCATGCTCTAGTTATCTCCCGCTTGGACTACTCCAACGCGCTCTACAATGGGCTACCTTTGAAGGTGGCCCAGAAACTGCAACTAATCCAGAATGCGACAGCTAGACTGGTGACTGGGAGTAGCTGCAGGGACCATATATCACTGAGAGGTCTGCATTGGCTCCCAGTACATTTCCGAGCACAATTCAAAGTGTTGGTGCTGACCTTTAAAGCCCTAAACGACCTTCGTCCAGTATACCTGAAGGAGCGTCTCCACCCCCATCGTTCTGCCCGGACACGGAGGTCCAGCTCCGAGGGCCTTCTGGTGGTTCCCTCACTGCGAGAAGTTACAGGGAACCAGACAGAGGGCCTTCTCGGTAGTGGCGCCCTCCGTGTGGAATGCCCTCCCAGCAGATGTCAAGGAAATAAGCAGCTATATCCTATTTTTAAAAAACATCTGAAGGCCGCTCTGTTTAGGGAAGTTTTTGATATTTAATGCTGTATTGTTTTTAACACTCGATTGGGAGCCGCCCAGAGTGGCTGGGGAAACTCAGCCAGATGAGCGGGGTATAAATAATAAGTCATTATTATTATTATTATTATTATTATTATTATTACCCAATGGTTGAAGTGGGAATCAAAAGCAGGACCCCCCCCCCAGCTCTGAATCACAGACCCCAGGAGACCCCAGAGGGCACCCCCTATATTTCTTCCCTAGGACTGGGAGACCAGCAACGCCTTCTATTGCAGTAGTAGTAGCACTGGGGGGCTACCACAACTGTCACTGCAACTGCAGGAGCAGCCGGTGCTTTTATTGGAGGCCAAATCTGCTGTCCCTGTAGATCCTGCCACCCGAAGCAGTCGCTTCCCCTTGCCTCGTGGGTGGTCTGGTTCTGGACGGACATCAGGGAAGCAAAGGGTTAAGCCGCCCCTCCCCGCCACTGCTTCTCTGCTCCTGACTGCGGCCTCCGGAGGCCGACGCTCAATGGAAAGAAACAACAAACTGTCTTGGGGAGGGAGAGCAGGAGGGAGCGCAGGCGAGGATACAGGCTCGCGAGGATACCGGTGTCCTGCGTAGCTGAGTCCCGGATCCAGGGGGGTCTCTGAGCTCGTGAGACTCCCCCTCGCATTGTTCCACAGTAACACACCTTCTGTCCAGAGACCCCCTGGGCCTGACAGGTTGACATAGCAGGTTAATAAGTGCCCTTCCACTTCTCCTAAAGGCTAATTAAATATTAATCCACGTGGTGAGGTCAGCAAAAATAACAAACAATTGGCAGAGCAAAATTCGTTTAATTAATTCTCCTGTGGAGGGTTTGAAAGTGTCTTTGTCCCCCGACACACGGGGAAATCAGACCTTATTGTTGCTGGGACTTGAGAGAGCGCAACCCCAACCCTTCAAAAAAATCTCTCTCTCTCTCTCTCTTTCTGACTCTTTCTCTCTCTCCCTTTCCCCAGCTATTCGAGAGCTTATTGTTCTCTCTTTTCCAGGATGTTTTCGAGAGGGAAGAAGATGAGAAGGGGAAGGGAGAGAGAAGAGGGTGCCAGACAGCCAAGGGAAACAAGGAGAGCCAATCAGAACCCAACAACACCCCTCCAAGAATTGACTACCCCCAAGAAGGGACGCGGGTGGCGCTGTGGGTTAAACCACGGAGCCTAGGACTTGCCGATCGGAAGGTCGGCGGTTCGAATCCCCTTGACGGGGTGAGCTCCCGTTGTTCGGTCTCAGCTCCTGTCAACCTAGCAGTTCGAAAGCACCTCAAAGTGCAAGTAGATAAATAGGGACCGCTCTCCGGAGGGAAGGTAAACGGCGTTTCCGTGTGCTGCTCTGGTTCGCCAGAAGCGGCTTCGTCACGCTGGCCACGTGACCCGGAAGCTGTCTGCGGACAAGCGCCGGCTCCCGGCCTATAGAGCAAGATGAGCACGCAACCTCAGAGTCGGTCACGACTGGACCTGATGGTCAGGGGTACCTTTACCTTTTAAGAAGGTAGTGGTGGCTGCCATCTTGGATGGCTCGAAAGGGCCTTTGGGCAAATTTGTAGCAGATATGGCAATAGAGAGCTGCTAGTCATTATGGCTGCATCCAACCCCCTGCAATGCAGGAATCGCAGCTAAAGAATCCCTGGCAGAGGGCCATCTAACCTCTGCTTAAGAACTTCCATGGAAGGAGAGTCTACCATCTTCTAAGGGAGTCCATTCAGCTGTTGAGCAGCCCTTACTTTCACAAAGTTCTTCCCTGTGTTTAGTCGGAATCTCCTTTCTTGAATACATTGATTCGGGTTTGACCGTCTGTAGCAGGATTGAAAACAAGCTTGCTCTCCTAACTTGTGGACATCCAAAGAAGATAAATGTTGGAAGACTCAGGATGGCTAAAAGAAAGAAGAGTTTGGATTTGATATCCTGCTTTATCACGACCCTAAGGAGTCTCAAAGCGGCTAACAATCTCCTTTCCCTTCCTCCCCCACAACAAACACTCTGTGAGGTGAGTGGGGCTGAGAGACTTCAGAGAAGTGTGACTGGCCCAAGGTCACCCAGCATCTGCATGTGGAGGAGCGGAGACGCAAACCCAGTTCACCAGAGTACAAGGCTACCGCTCTTAATCACTACACCACACTGGTACTTCTTCACACAGCATATAGTCAAACCATGCGGCGAAAGAATACGACAGCTAGACTGTTGGCTGGGACCGGCTGCCGAGACCATAAAACACTGGTCCTGAAAGACCTACATTGCCTCCCAGTACGTTTCTGAGCACAATTCAAAGTGTTGGTGCTGACCTTGAAAGCCCTAACCGGCCTCGGCCTAGTATACCTGAAGGAGCATCTCCACCCCCATCGTTCTGCCCAGACACTGAGGTCCAGCTCTGAGGACCTTCTGGCAGTTCCCTCCCTGCGAGAAGCCAAGTTACAGGGAACCAGACAGAGGGCCTTCTTGGTAGTGGCGCCTGCCCTGTGGAACACCCTCCCATCAGATGTCAAGGAAATAAACAACTATTTTACTTTTAAAAGACAACTGAAGGCAGCCCTGGTTAGGGAACTTTTTAATGTTTGATGTTTTATCGTGTTTTTAATACAGTGGTACTTCTGGTTAAGAACTTAATTCATTCTGGAGGTCCGTTCTTAACCTAAAACTGTTCTTAACCTGAGGCACCGCTTTAGCTAATGGGGCCTCCTGCTGCCGCCGTGTCGCCACTGCACCATTTCTGTTCTCATCCTGAAGCAAATTTCTTAACCCAGGGTACTATTTCTGGGTTAGCGGAGTCTGTAACCTGAAGCGTCTGTAACCCGAGGCACCACTGTATTCTGTTGGGAGCCTTCCAGAGTGGCTGGGGAAAGCCAGCCAGATCTGTGGGGTGTAAATAAATAAATTATTATTATTATTACTATGGAACTCCCTCCCACAGCAGGCAGAATCGGCCACCAACCTAGATGGCTTTAAATGAGAATTGGACATAGTTATGGAAGGGCTATCAATGACTACTAGCCATGAAGGCTATGGTCTGCCTCCAAAGTTGGAGGCCTAATGCCTCTGAATGTCAATTTCTGGAAGCCGCAGGTGGGAGAGGGCTCTTGTGCTTGGATCCTACTTGGCGGTTTCCCAGAAGAGGCATCTGGTTGGCCACTGTGAGGACACGATCCTGGGCTTCATGGGCCATGGACCTGCTCCATCAGCCTCTCACGTTCTTATGGTGACCCAAGGTTCCACACATTTGGAGAACGAGGTTGCTACTGCTATCACTCGAGCCCAAGCAATGCACAAAAGGAATATTGTGGGCACTGTTGTTATTTTCCCCGTCCCAGGAACTCAGGAGACCTGCCAGAACAATCTGAGCTGGGGGAAGAAGCTTGACTGCCGCTGCCCTCTCCGTGTCTTCATTACGGGATTATAAGAGCGAAAGAAAACATTGCTCCCATGTGAGAGCGTCGCAGCAAATCCGTAACACATGGCACATTTGCCCTACCAGGCAATAGTGTGGGTCTCTCGTTCCCCATTAAACTGCTCGTCCCGTTCCTCTAGCGCTATTCTCAACCAGGCTGATATAAATCTATCCTGGGTGTAGTTGCGGTGTCAATGCAATAATTTCAGGCCTGGTGGTAGCATGTGGGGTGGGCAGACTGGCATACGCTGCCTCTTTAGATGGCCAGTGTTTAAACTTGGAATGAAAATATATTGATAACAAAGGATGCTATGGCACTGAGCAGGCTATAGCTCAGCAGCAGGGCACATGCCTTGCATGCAGAGGGTCCCAGGTTCGAAACCCGGCATCTCCAGGTAGGACTAGGAAGGACTGCCTGTCTGACACCCAAGAAAGCCTCTGCCAGTCAGCGTAGACTGAACAGAGCTAGATGGGCTGCTTCCTGGGCTCTAAAATCACCCTGCTCTGAATCTCTACCTGGATTTTGGCATTCCGAATTATCTGGCCCTGTTTTGGAAGTGAATCTGGTGCCTTAGCAATTTTTCCAGCGTTCTACTTTTGTTTTGTACTTCTAAATCTTATGCAGAGGGTTGTGCAGGCATATTGTGGTCCTGCTCTGAGTTCCTTCATGTTTTTACTCCTTGTTATTTTTACTTTTTCAACTAAGAGAAGTGGAGCATTTGTTGTTGTTTAGTCGTTTAGTCGTGTCGGACTCTTCGTGACCCCATGGACCAGAGCACGCCAGGCCCTCCTGTCTTCCACTGCCTCCCGCAGTTTGGTCAAACTCATGTTAGTCGCTTCGAGAACACTGTCCAACCATCTCGTCCTCTGTCGTCCCCTTCTCCTTGTGCCCTCCATCTTTCCCAGCATCAGGGTCTTTTCCAGGGAGTCTTCTCTTCTCAGGAGGTGGCCAAAGTCTTGGAGTCTCAGCTTCAGGATCTGTCCTTCCAGTGAGCACTCAGGGCTGATTTCCTTAAGAATGGATAGGTCTGATCTTCTTGCAGTCCATGGGACTCTCAAGAGTCTCCTCCAGTACCATCATTCAAAAGCATCAATTCTTCGGCAATCAGCCTTCTTTATGGTCCAGCTCTCACTTCCATACATCACTAACTGGAGCATAGAGTAGTGCAAAACAAAGGAGCAACAACTGGAATTTGCCAGGAATTGTGGCGAGGGGAAAGCACGCCTGCCGACTGTTCAGCCAGCCACGCCCTCCTCTTCATTACTCCATTCCATACGCCCTCCCAGTTGGACTTCCAAGCAATGTTCGCTTAACATTCTTTGGCCACTGAGCATGCTCAGTCTTCACTGGGTTCTTTTCTTTTAAGTAAAACACTTCTTACACTTCTGCGAACTTTGGAATTCCCCCAAAGCCTGCCGATATCACCCCCTTGCGCCTGGGTGGCACGGTTTTGGCTACCTAAGCAACGCCGCCCACTAAATATCTGCGATCGCTCACTGCCGGGTTGCTGCTATCAGCTTGCAAGCAATCTCGAAATCAAACCCTCCAGCCCAGAAGAAGAGATTGGAGGAAACTTTCTTCCTGGCTCGGCACCGGAGAGCTTCCGTGTTAATTTTTTATTTATTTGAAACTGGCACTGGAAGGGTTTTCAAAGTGAGTCTAAAGTAATTAGGCGTTCCTGCTGATGGATTGCACTGAAGGGACATGTGGATTATTTATTACAAAGTCACTTGCTGGAAAGGTTAGAGGCTGAGAAGTAATTATTTTTTCCTTTTCCTTTTTCATTTTTTTTTTTAAGTGAAGAAATCAGCAGGGGAGAGGCGCTAAAGTGCCTCCGTGGAAAATCCCCCTCCGGTTTCACTTCTTTTCACAGAATCATGCATACACATGCATGCCCAACAGTGTTGCTCCTTAAGGAGAAAGCACCCTTTAGAGAATGGGGCTGGGGGTTGGGGGGGGATGGAATTAAGTCAAATGTGGATTCAGAGGACTTCTGTTTAAAAGGGAACACCCAGCACCCATGATCGTTTGGAGAATCGTCCATCCTTCTTAATGCGACTGCCATCCCGCCCCTTACATCCAATCTAAAAGAGATTTAGACAGATCCATATTGTCGAGTGGGTATGGAGGGGAGCAGGCACCCAGCCAGCCAGCCCAGCGCTAGTCTGAAAAGCGCCCTTTCTCGCAAAACAAACATGTCATCATTAGGGAAGGGAATCACTGTGTGAGTGCCTGGAGGCGGTTGGAGGATGGATGGCGGCTAACAGATTGAAGTTGAATCCTGACAAGACAGAAGTACTGTTTTTGGGGGACAGGGGGAGGGCAGGTGTGGGGGACTCCCTGGTCCTGAATGGGGTAACTGTGCTCCTGAAGGACCAGGTGTGCAGCCTGGGAGTCATTTTGGACTCACAGCTGTCCATGGAGGCGCAGGTCAATTCTGTGTCCAGGGCGGCTGTCTACCAGCTCCACCTGGTAGGCAGGCTAAGACCCTACATGACCGCAGACTATCTCGCCAAAGTGGTGCATGCTCTGGTTATCTCCCACTTGGACTACTGCAATGCGCTCTACGTGGGACTACCTTTGAAGGTGACCCGGAAACTGCAATTAATCAAGAATGCGGCAGCTAGGCTGGTGACTGGGAGTAGCCACCGGGACCACATAACACCCGTCCTGAGAGATCTGCATTGGCTCCCAGTGCGTTTCCGAGCACAGTTCAAAGTGTTGGTGCTGACCTTTAAAGCCCTAAATGGCCGTGGTCCTGTGTACAAGATGGAGCGTCTCCACCCCCATCGTTCAGCCCAGACACTGAGATCCAGCGCTGAGGGCCTTCTGGCGGTTCCCTCATTGCAAGAAGTGAGGTTACAGGGAACCAGGCAGAGGGCCTTCTCGGGGGTGCGCCCACCCTGTGGAACACCCTCCCTTCAGATGTGAAGGAAATAAGCAGCTATCCTATCCTTAAAAGACATCTGAAGGCAGCCATGTTTAGGGAAGTTTTTAATATTTAATGCTGTATTGTTTTTAACACTTGATTGGGAGCCGCCCAGAGTGGCTGGGGAAACTCAGCCAGATGGGCGGGGTATAAATACTAAATTATTATATTATTATATAGAAATTCTGCCCAGATCTCATTCTAATGTGCCCATTCACATGCTCAGAAACAGATGCACAAATTGGAGCAACAGCTCCCCTTCAAAATTCACACACCTCCACATTTTGTGCTTTTCGTTGAAAAGACATCTGCAAAAGTACACATGACGTTTGGGAAAGTGTCATTAGCATGCATTTTGTTACTGAAAACAAAATACAAAAATGCACAACGTTAGGGGAAATTGCTTGCAAAAATAAGTATTTATTAGGGGTGACTACAGGTCTCACAAATGGGTCCAGTTAAAAAAATAAAATCAAATCTGTTTCTGAGCTGCTTTGTGCTTTCTCTTCTCTGATCTGTATTTCTGCTCCCAAGTCGATATGTAAAATAAAGCTCTGGACTCTCCATTCACCATATTGGAGAATCTGAAGGTAGCCATAACTTTCCCCTTTTGAACCAAAGTGGGTAAAATTTGCAGGCATGGGAGCCCCTTCAGTGTGAATTAAGCCTGCCAGATTGCAGACAAACAAACTCATGGACTTTCTGAGGTGGAATTTAAAGGCAGTGAGAAGGATTCACTTTCCTCCATCACCCACACTGATTTCCTAATTTCGAGGTACAGCAGGGTTGGCCTCTTTATCTTTCTTACCTTAAAATAGTTAATATGTGGCTGAGCCAAGCGAATTCCTTCTTTCACTATTTTTTAAATATAACTTTGCAGCTTCATACTGGCTTTTCTAGTGCCTTACAAGCCTCTGACAGACCTTTCAACACAAGGTTGTCTAGAGCACTGCCTGCAGAGTTCTGAAGAGCTTGGGATTTATTTATTTTTTGTAAAACCACAGCGATATATTATTTTTCATATATTTAAAAAAAACCCTTAAATGAAGCTTTTAACTTCTTAAAAAAGAAATCTACTGTTCTACATTCACAAAAAAGAATCCCGACCTCTTCAGTACTCTGTAGGGAACATTTGGGGCTGTTTCACTTTTGGAAAACTCATGGTCCTACAAAAACGTAGAAAAAAATAGGGAAAAACAGAGCTACAAACAGCAGGAAAATACAGAGCTTTTGTGGGGGCCCTCGTCCAACTGGGGGATGGAAGAGATATTGACAGTGTGCTTCAACACAAAAGATCATTGATTGCCCCCTCGCTAGTCAGCCCCTACACAGAACCACTGCACATTCTTATCATGTGTTAGGCACAATTTATGATCAAAAAATGTGTATATTAGGAGAGAATTGCTGGGAAATGCTGCTAATTTTTTGTGTGAGGACTTCAAAACATAATCACAGACTGATACAGGTACAGTGGACTCTCGGGTTGCGAACATGATCCGTGCGGGAGGCATGTTCGCAACCCGCAGCGCCGTGTCTGCACACACGCGGGTTGCAATTTGGTCTTCTGCACATGCGCAAAGCGCGATTTAGTGCTTCTGCACGAGTGTCGAAACCCACAAGTAACCCGTTCCAGTACTTCCAGGTTCGGCACGGTGCAAAACCCAAAAACGCACAACCTGAACCATCTGTAAACTGAGGTATGACTGTATCTGGCAAGCTGAATTTAGGACTGAGAATCAGAGAGAAACCAAAACCGCTTGCTTCATCCATATCAAGACATGAGCCACACCCCAAAAGGCTCCTAAGGGATGCCAGTTCATAGGGGCTGAGCTGTCTGGGGTGGGTGGGTGGCAATATCCTATGCTAGAGGGCTGCCCCCCCCCCAATGTTGAGGGGGAGGCCAAGTATGGTGCAGATTCAGTGACTCTTGCCGTGGAAGGAAGCTGAGCACGAGACAGGAGAAGCCATTGGCCACTGAAGCCATGCCGCGCTCGGTTCCATGCTTGGCCTCCTCCCAACGATGCAATGTTGTGCGCATGATGTCATGCGCATGCAACGCACATGCAACGCCACACACACGCCACTGGGTCCCCTCAATCTCTGGCATAAGTTGGCACCTCTGACGTTATTCCTGCTACACTGTAAGTTGCACAACTTCAAATGTCTCTCTGCTCTACCGGATAAATTGCACCCCCGAAAAAAAAACCCTTTCTCTCAGACCTCACTCATGAATAATAATAATAATAATAATTTATTATTTATACCCCACCCATCTGACTGGGTCTCCCCAGCCACTCTGGGCGTCTTCCAACCAAATGTCGAAAACAATACAGCGTCAGACATTAAAAAACTTCCCTAAACAGGGCCGCCTTCAGGTGTCTTTTAAAAGTAAAATAGTTGTTTATTGCCTCAACATCTGCTGGGAGGGCATTCCACAGGGCAGGCGCCACTACCGAGAAGGCCC